CGCCTTGATGGATCGTGTCAATCAGTCCAAGAAAACATAAATGAACGTGGTGGAGGTGATGTCAGGTGGCCAGGTGGCGGTGAGGTGACGTCAGGTGTTAATGAAGATGCCAGGTGCCGGTGGAGGTGGTGTCAGGTGCCGATAGAGGTGACGCCGTGAGGCATGTCAGGTGCTGGTGGGGTGGTACACGTGCTGGTGGAGGTGGGTGTCAGGTGCTGATGGGTGGCGGCCAGGTGAGGTGAGTCATGGAGGTGATGTCAGGTGTTGGTGGGGTGGCGTCAGGTTGATAGATGCATGTCAGGTGGAGGATGGCGAGGTGATGTCAGGTGCTGATGGTGCAGGTGTCACGTGTTGATGGAGGTGGTGTCACGTGCTGGTGGAGGTGGTGTCAGGTGCCGATGGGTGGGTGTCAGTGTTGGTGAGTGGTGTCAGTGCTGATGGAGGTGATGTCAGGTGCTGATGGGCAGGTGTCAGGTGTTGTGAGTGGTGTTGTGTGCTGATGGAGTGCGCGAGTTGTAAAGCTGATGGGTGGCGTCAGGTGCTGATGGGGTGGTGTCAGGTGCTGATGAGCCGCGTCAGGTGTTGATGGAGGTGTCAGGTGTTGATGCAGGTGATGCCTGCGGCCAGGAGGTGGTGTCAGGCGCTGATGAGGTGATGTCAGGTGGAGGTGATGTCAGGTGCTGATGGAGTGTGGTGTCAGGTACGATGACGAGGTGCCAGGTGTTGGTGGAGTGGAGATGATGTCAGGTGCTGATGGAGGTGATGTTGTGCTGATGGAGGTGATGTCAGGTGCTGATGGAGGTGGTGTCAGGTGTTGATGGAGACGCTGGTTGTGCGTTGAAGGTGGTGATGTCAGGTACCATTGCTGGTTGAAAATGCACCCATAGTGTTGTTTTATGCCCCGGGCCATAGATGAGTGTCCGTCCGTACGAAACAGGGAACGTATTCTATCCACTTTTCCACCATAACCGCTATGTGAATTCATCGACCATACATGGGCTTTGACCCCAATGGTGCATCCTATATTTGTTTTTATTTTATTTTGTTGTTGTGTTTAGAGACATTTGAACTTACATTTTGCTGAATTTCTATGATGATATATTAGGTGAAGTCAATCCACTTCTCCACAAAAACTGCTCAACAGAATTGAATGAACTTCTACATGTCTTTGTAGACTCAAAAGTGTTTCATAATTTTTATGCAATTTCTTTATTTTGTCACTTACAGATGTTTGAACTTAGTTGAATTTTGTTCTATCTGTACAGTGTTCCATCCAACAGGCGTACGTTATCCACTTCTAAAGGTGCATCTCATATTTTGATTTTGTATTTTATCATTTTCCAATTAATGCCGTTTGAACTTAGATAAATTTGCTGAATTTCCTGAATTTAGTGTTGTTGTGGGATAAGTCTATCCACTTCCACAAAAGCTGTCAACAGAATTGATTGAGCTTCTGATGCGTTTCATTGAACTCTAAAGGTGCATCTCATACCTTGTTCATCCAATTTCTTAATTACTTACAGATGTTTGAACTTAGCTGAATTTGGTTCTATTCATCCTGTTCGTCCCATACAACAGGGTGTACTATCCACTTCCTCAAACTACTACACAAAACTCATTTAGCTTACATGTGTCTTTATAGAGACTCTAAAAGGTGTGCATCTCATGTTGTTTTGTTTTGCATTTTATAGTTTTGTATGTTTATAGAGTCACGAACTTAGATCAATTTTGCGGTAGAATTTCTATCTGATGATAAAAGAAATACAGGATTAAGCTCATCCACTTCTCCCAAAACTGCTCAACAGAATTGATTGCTTATACATGTGTTTCATTGGGACTCGAAAGGTGTGCATCCTATAGTTGCATAGATGTTTGTTGAACTTGTTCGTGAATTTTATCAATTATTGATCTTTATATGTCTCATGAATGTCATGAGGGCATCCAACTCTGGACACACAATGTTTTCTTGTTTATAACATTTTCAAGTTTTGTTCAATGTTTTGCTGTCTTCCTGTTTTCGGGGTGAATATGGTTGTGAAACAGCACTTGAAATCGGAAGGACGCGCAACCTGGCTGCAAATAAGCAATGATAGGTCGTATAAAATGGTTACACGGAATTCAAAATAACAGCGATTTACACTGATAGAATTGGCTTTGTGTTTTATCTTGCAAGCCCAGTCCGTCTGCATAATTTTAGTATATGAATTTGTTGTACTTAAAGAACCGTAAAATCTTGAATAAAGTGCATTTTATTATTATCCATATAAATGACTCTGTTGCAGAAGGACGCAACTATACCTTGTGACCTTCCGATGGTTTCAAAGTCAAAACTTTGAGTAAACAACTATCTCGTTTCCTGCTGACTGGGTTCCGTCCTATTGCGCAACTTAGTACAATAACCAGTCCAGAATTTTGAGACCAAATCATTTAACTGGACATATAAATATTAATCCGTATTATTTGATACATCTAATAACCTGTATATTGCAACACTACGCTGCTTCTAATCCTTGCAAACACGTCCTGCAGCGTCTTCTGTCGTACAGCGTGCTCTGACAAATGGAATCGGGGAAATCTCAAAACGAGGCTCGGCCGCTGGAAACGTTTGGCGGTCTGGTACAGACTTGATATTATATCAATCACGTTGTAAGTTACAAAAATACACCAAATTAGCACAAAGAACACATAACAGGTGTAACCAGTGAGCCAAATGAATTGTGAATTATTGTACGACCTTGTTCAAACAGGGGCAGTCTGTGACGTGTTAATTAACGACATAACCTCGACATAGATATAGAAATTTAAACTTTTAATTTTTAAAATTAAAAATTAACTGTAAATACCATTTTCTTATGAAACAAAGGAATTGGAATTCAGTGTAACCATGGTTGTTTGCGGTGTCTCTTTTCACTTTCACATGAGAAAATTCGGATCGGCTGAAAGAGTAGGTCATTGTCTGAAGCCAGTTAATGAGACTCATCTTTAGTTTGACCTGGAATGTTTATTTGCCATCAAACAACGTATGGCGCTGGGTTTAGTTGCTTGTTTAACGCCGCACTTAGCAATATTCCAGTTATATGGCGACGGTCTATAAATAATCGAATCTGGAATGTGCCATATTATCTGCTGTTTCTGTGTAGTTCAATAAAATAAT